GTGTTAAAGAAGGAGGAATAAGGTGTAAAGGTGACCTAGTGAATAAATGCTTGTGTTTTTAAATAGTTTATTCAGTGAAAAAGAAGGCTGAAAAGACGAGACGGATATCTATTATTCAAAGAAGAGGAGCAAGGACAGAAGATACAAAGCGGAAGAATCCGTGAGTCCTTTCCGATTTATCCCTCAATCCCTTTTTTTATCATTAACCATTTGTAATAAATGCAAAAATAAATACAAATCAGATCTTCATAAGTATTCAAGCAAGCCTAACTCCATATAGATAGGTGATGCTATTCAATTCAAATAATTACAATTCAATTTCCATATAAAAGACAGATTATACGTCACAGTGACATTGCCTGTCAAAAACAATAATTTGATTCATTCGTTTCCTCATTTTCTTAGAAAACTCAAAATAATATTCGTTTCTCACCAAAGCTGGTGAGTTTTTTATTCACACAGTAAATTGAATTCTCCTTTGGAAAATTTGTTTATTCATTTTTTTTCATTTAATAATGTCAGAAGAATTGAGAAAACTAGTAGCCCGCAGGGGTCAAATAAAATCACAATTAACGAGATTCATAGGGTTCATTGAGGATACAGCAAATCATTGCAAATTAACAGAAATTGCAACTCGTTTGCAGCGCATTGAATCCTTTTACGACGAATTCGATAATATCCAATCTCAAATTGAAATATTGGATGATGATTCGTCACAGCATGATGAAAGAAATCTATTCGAAAACAAATATTTTCTTATTGTTTCGAAAGCAAGAGATCTTTTATGTAAACCTACTCCAGGTGCATCGTCTTTTCATCAAGTCAATGAACCAAATATTAATTGTAATGTAAAACTTCCGCAGTTGTCATTGCCTGAATTTAGTGGAACATATGATAAATGGTCTAATTTTGCAGACACCTTTACATCACTTATTCATAGTTCCAGTTCCAGTTTTAGTTTGTCCGATACCCAAAAGTTTAACTATCTTCAATCATGTTTGAAGGGTGATACAGCCAAGGTCATCGATTCCTTGGAGGTGAATGCAGTAAATTATCCAGTGGCGAGAAATTTGTTGAAGGTTAGATTCGAGAATAGAAAAATTATAATTAGAAGTCATATTAAAAATATTTTCGAATCAAAAAACGTTATCAAGGACTCGCATAGAGCTTTTCATGACATTTTTCTGAAATATGGAGTACGATATTAATATATTTATTGTTGTCTAAGCTAGATGTGGGTACAAAAAAGGA